TTTATTTATTTATTTATTTATTTTATTAAATATATTTATATGCCGCCCAATCCCGAAGGACTCCGGGCGGCTTACAAAAAATAAGAAAAAAAAAACAGATAATGAGAAAAGAAACAGTTTAAAAACAGCAACACCCTCATACATTCATTGTAATTGGGGCTGGTCCTCAACAGTGAGGTCAACAGCCCCAGGCCTGCCAGAACAGCCAACTACCCGGAGGAGAGCCTTCTCTGTGGCTGCTCTGACTCTCTGGAACCGGCTACCCCCAGAGATCCAGGCCATACCCACTCTCATGGCCTTTCTCATGGAAAACTGTAAAAACCTGGCTGTTCCGGCAGGCCTGGGTCTGCTGACCTCAATGTTGAGGTCCAGCCCCGATTAGAATGAATGTATGAGGGTGTTGCTGTTTTTAAACTGTTTCTTTTCTCGTTATGTGTTTTTTTTTTCTTATTTTTTGTAAGCCGCCTGGAGTCCTTCGGGATTGGGCGGCATATAAATAAATTTAATTAATTAAATAATAAATAAATAAATAAATAATAAAAATCAACTTCTGTGGGAATTTGTGGAACTACACTTATGCTACCACTAGATGTCACTGATGGAAACTACTAGGGTTTCAGATACTGTTAGCAACATATGGGATGACTCCTACGTCTCATATGTGATCACAGAAACAATAAGGATTATTGATGCTAATGTACTCTCTGCCTTGCCATCATTTTTGGTACAGCTGTGTTGTGTCGTACAACATTGTCCGTGTTATTAAAATTCATACAGTGTTCACTTGCTAGTATGTGTGCTTCAGTGGCAGTTTGGCATGAGTGACATAAGCAACATTTTCCCCAGTTTCTTCAGTAGGTTCCTTCAGAATGTTTCTCTGCATTGTATTGTATACATTTTCACAGTTGTTATATATGCTGCATTAATAAGCAAGAGAGAAGCACACGCAGGAGCCGTTGAATGTGAAATTGTAATGTTTATCCACCTTTCTTGCTTTTCAGACCTGAATCTGTAGAAGCTAGCCCTGTGGTAGTTGAGAAGTCAAACAGTTATCCACACCAACTATATAATAACAGCTCTCATCATTCACACAGTTACATTGGTTTGCCTTATGCGGTATGTTCTTTTTTTTTTTTTAAGCCTTTATTTTAGGTCCTTGTTAAGTTTCCAGACATTTAATTGTGTTTTAGCTAGTTGGTTTGGCTTGATATGAAAATAGTTCACTGACATATCCCAACTCTCAACGTCATTAGAAAAGAAGTTGGTTTTAATGGTTCTTTACAATTTTTACCATTTCTATCTATTTTTGTCATTGTTCTTTCTTAAACGGCATTGCTTTTATTACTGTTTTTACTAAATTTTCTTGAGTAATAGAATTGGACTTATAAATAAACCTGAAGCTAAAATCACAATAGTTATGCCCTTGGCTAGCCTGATCTTGCAAACCTAGTCCTACAGCAATTAAAGCAGGAACTCTGGCCAGTAGCAAAAAGCCAGCTCTGCCTTATTCGACATTATACTTCCTTTGATTGTTATGCCCTTAAACAAGTTACATTTTCCTTTAAAACGCAGCAAAGCTTTCCTACAACAAAGTCTCCAGTTGCATGTAAAGGAACCAGCAACTTGGAGTACTGAGAATAATATCAATTCAAGTCCATTTTAAACATGCATTAGTGCTATGTCTTGTGCTCAAATAGAATTTGGCACAATTTTCTTGGCTGCTTTATCATTGCACAATAATCTGATCATATCTCTTTGTTTTAAGATAGCATCCTATAAAATAGTTGCTTGCAGTGATGAATTGATAAAGTAGGCCTTTTTTTCTTCTCTAAGTAAATACTACCCTAAACCAATCACTATAACTATGTAGAAAAGTGGAAATTTTAATCCTGCATTGAAGGATTTCTGCTTAAATGAAACTGGTTTTTATACTAAGAATGCAGATGTGCTTTCTCTGATACTTTAACATTCAGCCTGAATAAGTATCTTATGTTGTATAATAATTGAACAACCCTGGTTTGTAATTAGTTTTAACCAGCAGCATGTTTTGTGATGCCTAACTAGTTCCCACAGTATAAATATTAATGATAATCAGATTTTGTTTATTCAGGATGGGTAAGAAATCAACATTATAAAACCTCTGTTAGTAGTGTCAGAATGGATAAAGTAATATGCATTTACTTTTTAAAAGAAGCTAATTCGCTTCAGAGGTTTTAAACACATTTGTTTACATGGTCGTGAGCGAGGTTGAGTTGGTGGGAGAAATGTTGAAAAGGCCAGGTTTATAATTCTATGCATGAATTTTTTTAAAAAAGGTCTTAACGAAAAGATGGATGATTTTATGTAACTAATTTTTCAGGACCATAATTATGGCGCTCGTCCTCCTCCAACACCCCCAGCATCGCCGCCTCCTTCAGTTCTTATAAGCAAGAATGAAGTAGGCATATACACTGCTCCAAATTTTGATGAAACATCCAGTGCTACTACTATCAGCACATCTGAGGATGGAAGCTACGGCACTGATATAACTCGGTGCATTTGTGGATTCACCCATGACGATGGCTATATGATCTGTTGTGACAAATGCAGGTAAAATAGTCCATACGCACAACCGTTTTGAAATGTTCCTACCCAGTATTATTACTATCAGCTCTGCTGGCCCTCTGGTTGCTCAGTGAGATTTCCTTCCTTTAACAAAGTATGTAGGCCATTTGGTAAACATGGCATTAATAGAAGCCACCACCATTTTGTCATTGTGTTGGCCACCATTTTGCTCACAGGATGGATGGGTGAGGCCATCAAGTCAGCAGAGTCACTCTGCAAGTGGGGATCGTGCTGAGGATCATAGCACAGAACTCATTGTTAGCCCCACAGTAAAGCAGGAGTCACTGGGTGATAAGTAGATAAGAGCCCTGGCGGCTTAGTGGTTACAATGCAGTATTGCCGGCTTACTCTGCCCGCTGCCAGGAGTTCAATCCCATCCAATCTTGACTGGCTCAAGGTTGATTCAGCTTTCCAAGGTTGGTAAAATGAGGACCCAGATTGTTGGGGACAATATGCTGACTCTGCTTAGAGAGAGCCTGTAAAACACAGCGAAGCGGTGTATAAGTCTAATCACTATTGCTGTTGCTAATGAACAAAGCTTAGTTTTGTAGAATCTTGGTTATTAGTGTCACTTGTGTACTTCTAAAGGTACTGTATGACTTACAGACATGGTTGGAGTTGAATTAAAATCTCAGAGCACTGTAATGGGAAATCCTGGTGGCGATACTTTAAAAAAAAAAAAAAACCACACACATTAGTGAAACTTCATGTTGCAAATGTGGGTTTTATTGGAGAAACTGCCATCCAGAAAAGTATCTGTGTGTAACCTTCTGAATGATCATATTGTTAAAAATGAAGAATAGGCAAGTGCGTGAAAGAAAGTTTGTACCTAGCTTGTAATAAAATGATCCCATCAGAACATTCTGTCCAAGCAGTGGGAACTTGAAATAAAGCTCATTGCTGTTATCTTTTGTCCTAGAGGATCATGCTGAGTGCTACCTTCTATCCCACCTGAAGAAGAATTAGCCAACGTAAAACAAAGCAAACATTAAAAAAATTACCAGAGCAAACAAAGGAAGCCACAGCTAAGAATGGCTTTTGCAGTCTGACCTGCTTCTACAAATAGCTGTAGAATAAATCTAGAAGGAAGCTGTGGCCATGTAGTCACATTAATACAGCCTATGACCAAGAGCAAAAACATACTTTCCTGGCAATTGTCTTAATGCTTCTTCCAAACAAACATTCATGATGTACATATGTTGCCTTTGCCAACCTGCCTATACGTTAAACATATTAACAAAGCCATACATTTTGCATTTGACTATTTCCACATTTGAGAGTACAACAATATTCATTACAATACACGCGCAGAGACTATAAACTCAGATTTGGTATTCCGTCTGAAAATAAAAGCACAACACAGAGACGGACAGTAGCATTGCTACCTTCTTCATAACAAATTATGTAAAAACAATAGTAAAAGTAGCCAGGCAAAAATGAATGAATGAATACACACACACACCATCTTCATCATCCCAGCCCTGTTCAGTTGGCTTTGGCCAATGGCAGAGAGTTGAAACTTGTGGCTGCTGCTTATCAGCTAATACCTTCTGCAAGGCTTTGTGGCTTTAGAGGAATTACAGAAACAAAACAAGCCACGTGCAGGATATCCAAACACTCAGAAGAGAGTAATGTAGCATTGGCTACGTTGTTTAGAGAGGAGATTATTTGGAAAAAGCAATAATTGAACACTCACTACATTTCAAGTGATAGCAGGTGTTAGGGAAATTAATTTTCTTTGGCCACAAGGAAACTTGAGTGAACTATCTAAACCTTGAAAAGTATGAAAATAACACTGTATTCTCTCCTTTTCTTTATTTTAAGTGTTTGGCAGCACATTGATTGCATGGGGATTGATAGGCAGCATATTCCTGACACATACCTTTGTGAGCGTTGCCAGCCTAGGTAAGTGGTAGATAATTGAAAATATATTATTTGTGTTGGCATATGATTTGAGACATGGACAAAATATGAGCAGATGAAGCAAAACCTCTCTCCTCCATTATAGTAATACATTTGAATATTATATTGACAAGTACAATTTATTTTAAAAGGTGGCATTCTTCGTTCAGTAAAAGGGGTGTCCAGAATAGTCCTTTTTCATAATGATATTTGAATTAAAGATTTGATATTTAATACCCATAGTGCAATATAGACACTGTTACTGTGTTACAAGAAACAGCCAGTCTAGGTTTTGAATATTGTCAGAATACACATCTTGCTTTATGGCAGGGGTGCCTAAATTCAAAGCCCATGAAGTGCTTACATCTGGCCTGCGGGGTTGCCCTGGAAACAGCAAAGGATTGGCTCGCAATGCCTGTGCCAGCAAAAACAGAACTCGGGAGTGCCATGTGCACCCTCCCCCCCCCCCATTTTTGCTGGCTAAGGGTTGCAGGAGGCTGTCCCAGCCGAAAACGGAGCTCGGGAGCCCGTTTTTACTGGCGGGAGGGCTTGGGCCACCACAGGTGCCCCCAACACAAGTGACATTGAGCTGGTCACACCCACCCTGGTCACGCCCTCCTGGTCCCCATGAGGTCAAACACAACCCTGATGCGACCCTTAATGAAATTGAGTTTGACATCACTACTTTAGGGAGTTTAGTCTGTCTCTTTACATATGAAGTAGTGGGGTTTGCAGGCGGTACGTCCTGGTACGGGCATGCTGGAGCACCGGGTACCATTCCGGTACGGTGCTCCGGAGGGCCCACACGCCCGAGCTCCATACCTGTCCTTTGGCACTTCTGCGCATGCCACATATGGCACCCGCGAAACACTCCGCCGAGCAGCTGGAGCGTCGCGGAGGCCTCGCAGGCAGGTACGATGCGTGTGCGCGCTGTGCGCGTCCATGTGGGCGCTACCGCACACAGTTGAAATGGGATCCGGAACCCACCACTGATATGAAGCTGGAATACTAAAGTAGCAAAGATTTAGATGTCACTGCATTGCTAAGTTCTTTGCTTTGAAACTGATCCTTTCTACCAAGTATAAAATTCCCAGAGTGGAGAGCTCCAGGTTAAAAATTTGATACATTTCCTCTGGTTCTCTTCACACAATATTTGCCAATTTTTTTAAAGTATTCAAACAGCAAAGATAAATTAATTAGTAGGGTGAGTGGATACAGCCATTTTTATTTTAATTGTTTATTACATTTAATACACATATACCATTCATTAAAAAAACTTGATGTTCAAAATCTTAATATTTACTCAGTTTCTTTTTTCCCCTATTTTTAAAAGGAGCTTAGATAAGGAAAGAGCAGTGTTGCTCCAGCGTAGAAAAAGAGAAAATATGTCAGGTAGGTAAAAAAAATTTCATTAAATTCTAAAGTTTGTTCTTGGTAATTACATGGATCCCAAGCACTCTGTTACTGTTGACACTTCCCCCCCCCCCCTTTATTGGTCTTGCATTTTTGCTAAAAAATAAACATCCTTTAATAGCGTATAGATGGAATGTTTTTATTTGCTAATAAAACCTGTTTGTATGCAAATAGCTCACCAGCTTTTATGCAAATAAATTAACAATATTTGTTTACAGAACTTTTGAATATTTTCCTTCCTAAAACAAATGGACAATGTTTAATTTTAACCAATTTTTGTAAAATTAGTTCCTGTATTTTTAATTATTGTTACGCTTATAACTAAAACAACAACTCAGCAGTAACTTGATACAAAGATGCTAGAGTTTATTTATTTTGCAATATTTGTCAACTATTCCAATAATTGAACACTCTGCTACAACACTGAGAAATAAAATACAGAGCAAAAGTAATGACAAAATACAGGAACTAGGAATCAGTCAGAACCAAATAGAATAAAATGGCATTAAACACCTTGGTGTGTTTTCTTATATAATGTTGCCGCAAAATGAAGTATTAGGTTTATATGCAGTTGATCCTGAAATGGGGAAATACCAAATCTGCTTATCTGGCAATATCCTCTCTTCAGGGGTAAAAGCTGCTATAACAGTTAGCATGCCTCATCTCATAACTTTCTAGGTCAGATTTGGTTTATTTTTTTATGTTTCTCTCTGAATATTGTGGTGTATTTAAATATGCTCAATGAATGTTGCTGCATTTTTTTCTGCTTTAGGAAGAAAAAGGCTTAGTTCTTATAATGGATAATGAGTGATGTTTTTTTTTCAATAGTGGAAGATTTTTTTTAGAGTTATAAAATATATGATTGAATCAAAATACATATTTCCAAACTGCAAGCCACTTATAAATTTAACACAGCCTTTGAGAAACTGATGGAGACACAGAAGAGACATTTGCATATGCTAAAAGAGACCTTACTTCTTTGCTAATTGTTTTGTTTGACTTCTGCTGACAGTTCCTACAGGCAGTGAAGCAACTAATAATTAGAAGTTGATTGTGACCTTTTATTATAAAGATCACCATGTGTATGATACCCTTTCCTGTTTTTAATTACTTTTTGCATTATGAGTTTACAGTGGCATTAGAGGGCCTTTTGGGAAGAAAACACAAATGATAGCCAATATTTCCAATTTATTTGGAATCTAAAAGAATAAGTCTTACCTTTAGGAAAAGTTGTTGACTAAGATAAGTTTCCCCATTAATTGAAAGGACATTATCTTTATTGTATTAGTGTGATTGTAACTATTGTGAAACATATTTTCCTGTAGTCATTTTTTTCCAAGTTGTTATACTTAGTCTAAAACCTTGCATCCTAATATTTGTTTTAAATACAATATGAGAAGAGAACCCTTACATTTGGGTTAAAACTTACATAAGTATATGAATTTATAATTGAGAGGTAATTTGATATAAACTATGCTCAGTATATGGAAATCTTTCAGTGCTTCTGGAAAAATTGAAGCTTTATTGAATTTAAAGAAACCACAAATCTAAACATTTTTTTGTCACTGGAGCCCATGATCAAATAAATGTTAATATTATTAACTCCTTGTTTTCCTTTTACATAAATTTTGATAATTGTATATGGAATTAATAGTTTATACAATCTATGATTTTAATTCATGGAATATTTCAGTACCGTGAGATAATTTCCTCTTTCGTTTGTATTTTAAAGATGGGGATACCAGTGCAACAGAAAGTGGTGATGAGGTTCCTGTAGAATTATATACTGCTTTTCAACATACACCAACTACAATTACGCTAACTGCTACACGAGTTACAAAGGTCACAGATAAGAAAAGGAAAAAAAGTGGAGAGAAAGAGCAAACCATCACAAAATGTAAAAAAGTAAGCTAAAATCTAATGCTGATTTTGATGTATCGATTTTAAAACTGCCTTCATGGAGGTGGTTTCATGTAAATGTTAAAAAGAAGTTGAGAGAGCCCTGTGGCAGCTCACAAAGCAGAGGCCATGAGCTGGACTTCTCACTCCCTTCCCACACCAATTGGGACAGGCCTTGGGGGAAGGAGGTGAGCCAGCACAGAACTGCCCCCCCCCCCTCTTTAGGTCATCGCAAAAGAATAGCCATGATCAATGGTATTGTAAGGGCCATCACCTCCATCCTGCCACTGTTTTGGTTCTATATCTCGGCCTGAAACCTGACTGGAAAGGGTCCAGATAGTCCATTTCCTCTGGGGTTGCAACACCCCAGCTTCTGGATGAGGAAGATTGGATGAAAATTGTTCAGAACAGGGGAATCTAGCAATGGCTTCTTAAGGAAGAGATGGCACCAGCGCCTCTTTAAAAGGAGCCAGGAATACAAGGTTTATGATCGGTTGCTCAGCACCTCTTAGATATTGTAGTCTCCAAAATATAATCTCTGATATTTAGAAATGGGTCATTAAAGAGGTAGAGCTTTGAACTTCCTTCAAAAAGAAAGTTTGAAGGATCTCCTCACTTGATTCCAAAGAGGGATATTGGTAACAAGAACTGGTCAGTATTGAAAATAAGGCCAAGCACTTATTTTGGGGGGTCAAAAGAAAGGTTGATGGTCAGTTGCTCAGCTTTATAGTGCCGCAGAAGGATTTTTGTCTTTCAAGCAAGATGAATATATTCAGGCGAATCCTCCTTCAGAGAATATTTATTTTAATCTTGTATGCTGATGTAATTTTTTTTCCAGGCTTTCCGTGAAGGTTCTAGAAAATCTTCAAGAGTTAAGGTAAAACATTTATGTTCTTACTATTTATTTCACTATACTCTTTTGTTCATTGATTAACGGGTACCAGAGGGTTGGTTGTCAAGCTATGTTTTATACTATTTAAAATATTTAAATCTTCATATTTCTGAAACTAATGCCTAAGGGGGCCAATAACATCAAATGTTCATAAAACATTAACACTATTAAAATTAGATACGATGCAAATGCTATGTAATACAAAAAACCATAAGAGATGTATGAATATTATCTGTAATGCAATTAAGCTACTCCAAGTAACTTGAAGGGCAGTTAATAAACTAGTATTCACCAGTATGGATGCTTGCTAGATGTGTAGACTGCATTCCCAATCTTCTCTACACTGGGCATGCTGCCTGGGGAATTTGAGGATTTGAACTCCGCATATCTGCCAGATGCCAAATATAGGATAGTTGTAAGATGACAGCTTCATCTACAACACATGCTTTCAAGGGCAGCTTTGTGTTCCTGGAGGTAGAACACTTGTAGAGAGGGAATGAGGTAGATTGCTGAGAAAAGGCTTTCCAGAGCCAAGGAAGAGCCTATTAAAAAGGCCGATTCCAATTCTGAGCGTTGTTAAATGCCCTTTGAAATCCTCTCACAGTAGAGTTCATATAAAAACCATATATTGTTTAAGGGGACACAAGGAAATGTGTTGGGAGGGAAAACAGACCATCTTCAAAATAAATGGGAGATACCTAGCACTGAACCTCACTTCTTTAAGAGAAATTAAAACCACAAAAAAAAAAAAAATGTCCCCAAATCTTAATTAAAGAGCTATGGTGGTGCGGTGGTTAGAAGGCAGTTTTGATAGGCAAACTCACTGCTCACTGCCAGGAGTTTGACCCTGACCGGTTCAAGGTTGACTCAGCCTTCCATCCTTCCAAGGTCGATAACATG